GTGGTTTATCTATACAATGGAACACTACATGGCAATGAGAAAGAATGAAATCTGGCCATGTGTAGCCACATGGATGGACCTTGAGGGTGTTATGCTGAGTGAAATAAGTCAGGCAGAGAAGGACAGACACCATATGTTTGCACGTGTAGGAGGATTAGGAGGAACTTAATGGAGGACCGTTGGGGAGAAGAAAGGGAAAAATAGTGGGGTAGAGGGAGGGAGTCAAACCGTAAGAGACTCCTGAATGCCGAGAACAAACTGAGGTCAGACAGGGATGGGGGGGAGGGGAAGGGGGTGACAGGCATGGAGGAGGGCACTTGTGGGGATGAGCACTGGGAGTTATATGGAAACCAACTTGACAATAAACTATTTAAAAAAAATAATAATAATAAAAAAGAAAAGAAAAGCCAGATGAAAGTTCTGTCCTACAAGCCAGGAGAAAAAAGGGTCCCACTGAGAACGAGGGATGAACTATTTCAGGAGTTGGCAGCCACCTAGTTTTGTAAATAAAGTTTTATTGGAACACAACATGGCCCATTAATTTACATCTCATCTGTGGCTGCCTTAGCTCTAGGAGTGGAGCTCTAGAAGGCAGAGTGGAACAGCTACAGCACAGATTTTATGGCCCATAAAGCCTAAAATATTTACACCTAGCCCCTTACAGTCAAAGTCTGCCAGTCCCTGATGCCAACAATAGTCAAAAAAGACTTAGAACAGGGGCGCCTGGGTGGTTCAGTCGGTTGAGCGTCTGACTCTTGATTTTGGTTCAGGTCATGATCTCACAGTTCATGGGATCAACCCCCGTGACAGTGCAGAGACTGCGTGGAATTCTGTCTTCCCCCCTCTCTGCCCCTCCCCTGCACATGCTCTGTCTCTCTCTGTCAAAAATAAACATTAAAAATTTTTTTTAAAAAGACGGTAACTGGGCATTGCATTTGGTGATGTGGAGACGACTGGTAACTTGCTTAAAAGCAGCTTCCGCGGGACAGCTGGGACCCAGTGCCTGTACTGGTGAGCTGGCTCTCAGATCTGTGAGACACAGATGACACACACAAACAAAACTACCTGTCAGCGTTTTTAAGGAGCCACACAAAGAAGTGAGAAAAAGACAGCCTTTCAAACCGCACCTGTGCTCCCTTCACAACCTGGCTCAAGATCACCTCCTTGGGAAAGATCCCCTCCCCTTGGCCTAGGCAGCCATGAGCCGAGGTCTCCTCCAGTCAGCTGTCGCCTGCACTGAGAGCCCGGTTTGCCTCCAGGACTGCCCACCAACAGGCTGTGAGCTCCTGGAGAGCAGGGACTGCGGCTGAGCCGTGTGTTTCTCGCACAGCGCGGACACCAGACACACCAGGTGCAGCACAAGCCGCTGTCTGCCTGCCCCACGGAGCACCGCTGGGCTCCATCAGGGCCCCGGCGAGGGGCGGAGTCTTCCCCAACGCGGAATGGGATGAAGAGGAGGCAGGGAGGCAGGCGCTGGGCGCCCCCTGCAGCCCACCCCTCACCAGAATGTGAGGAATGGGAACCAGCTCCCAGGACGGGCCTCTTAAACTGAAAACTTGTAAAAGAAAATAAACGCTGCTAAGTCCTGAAAAGCGGGACCGCACTTCCGAGAGGAGGGAGGAAATGCCCACTCACCCGAGACGCGGCTTTCAGCTCGGGTCCTGTCCCCGCGGCCTCCTGCTTCGGCCTCCTGTCCTGGAGAAGCGCCGGGCCCCTGGAAAGCAGGGCTGGGGGAGGAGAAGGGGGGAGCTGGAGACCGAGTCTACACCGCGCCCCTGACCACCGGCGTGGGAACGGTCCCTTCCTGCGGAGTCTTAAACCAGAGCCATCCGTCAGTCGGAAAGGGCTTCAACAGGTGCAGAATCGAATGCTCGGGCACGAACAGGGCTGGACTCATCCGTAAGGGGGTGACCTGCATCCTGCTACTACTCTCCCCGGGGGCTGCCACGGAGCGGAGCGGAGTTCCTCTCTCTGGGGGCATGACTTCTGGAGGTGTCGGGCCAGCCTGACCCGGGGCAGGTCCTTCCCTGCACCGCTGCCTGATGCTCGGACTCAGGGTAAACTTCCAAACGTGTCGGTTCCTCCGACCTGCCAGCCTCAGAGCCTGGGGACACCACTCACCAGCAGTCGGGCCCCAGAAGCCCCTGGCCCCACGACCTCGCCCTCCCGCCCTCTGAGAGATCGCTAGTCCCCGTCCACCAGGCCCGACCACCTGTCACCCTCACCTCGGCTCTCAGGCCCCGTGGTCACCGCTCCTCGCTGGCCCTTGGATGGGAGCCCATTCCTCCCGCGCGGCCTTCCCCGGGCGGGGCGGCCGGAGGCGGCCTGGGTCCCCGCAGTCCGGCCCCGGCCCGCCCCGGGCTTTGTGCGGGGGGCACCACGCCGCAGCGGGGACTCCCGCCCGCGGGACACTACGCTCCTGCCCGTGCCTGCCTCCCCCTGCATGTCGGCGCGGCGCGCGCTCGCTGCCCCCACCCGCCCCGGGGACTCCCGGCGTCCAGCCGGCCCCGCCCCGCCCCGCGCAGAGACCCCGACCCGTCCCGGCAGCACCAACCCCGGCCGCGGGCCGCTGCCGGAAGTGGGCGTGTGCGGCCGCCGCAAAGTTCCCTGGGAAATGTAGTCCCGGCCAGCGCCGCGACGGGACTGAGCGGAGCGCAGGCTGCAAGGCTCGGACCCTCCCTGGGGCCTACACAGCATCCGTCATCCCTTCTCCGGGCTGGCCGCTTCCGGCTTTTGCGGATCGTGGACCCCCGACCCGGGCCTGGCCGGAAGTACAGGCCTCCAGGGAGACTGACAGTACCCCACAGGCTTCTGGGAGATGTTGCCGGGTTCGGAGCGCGCAGGCGCAGTTCCCGGGCCGGGGGCGGGGCCGATGGCGGGGGGCGGAGCCGCAGGGCTGGCCACGGTGACGCTAGGGCGGGGCGGGTGGAGCGGTCCCGGGGTGGGCGTCCCGCAGGCGTCCCCGCGGGTGGTTGCGGCAGAGGGCGGCGCTGGGCTTTGCCGGGGTCCAGAGTGAGTGGTCCTGGTGGGGGCGTGTGAGCGCCGCGTGCCCGCGCGTCACTCACTTCGCACCTTCGACCTCAGGTGGGTCCCCTTGTCCCGGACACTCGGGTCGGCCCCGCCCGCCACCTCGTGTCCAGGTGCCACGTCCCTGCACTTGTGGGTCCTGCACCTGAACGGTCTTCCCCCGAACTCTCGTCGGGGCTGTTTCCCTTCTGTCACTCTCTGGGAGGGTTGCCCCGACTCGCAGTCACAAACGCCACCCACCCGGGGACCTTCATGATTATCTGAGTTAACTGATGCTTTTTATTCATTTACTGTTTAGGGCCAGTCTTAGCAGAGCCGTCAGGAGCTTTCTGGATCCCTGGAGCTGAGCGCCTTGTCCCTCTTGGTGAATAAGCTCACTTAACAACAGCGCGGGCATAATGCCCTTATTACAGACTCAGGAGGCTGCATGCGGTTACATTGATGTGACATATTGTAATGTCATTTAAGACAGAGAAAGAGAGGAGGGGTAGCCAGGAGCTGGGGGCTCCCTACAAAGGGCAGAGGGAACTTGTGGGTCTTCTGGATCTTGGTGGGAGTAGTTGTGATGTGGGAGACAGAGGCAAAAGAAAAAATTAAATTCTCTTACTGCCTACAGCCCATTGACAAGTCCTTCAAACAGATGGACTGGCCTTCCTCTGGGAGTTCAGCTGCCTTGCCGAGGACTCTTTGTTAGGGGCAAAGGGCAATCTTAGCTTGAGGATCCCCGACCCTCTAGGATCCTGTAAGTCTACTTTAAACACCTAAAAATCCCTTTGGAAACTTCCTTTATCTCTGCCCCCGTAAGATCTATGTTGGCGACCATCCTCCAAGCTTATGGCTCCAGATACACATGTGAAGGGTCTCATGCCTGAGGGCTTATCAAACAGTAAAAAATGACCAGTTCCTAACAACAACTAGCCCCTCAAGGTCTTCGAAACCTTGCTTCCAAGCTTCCTTAGAGACTTCGGCTGTCCCTAACCCCCTCCCAACCTGAAGGTATATAATCAGTCACCCATCACAACCCCAGTGCAGCTCTTTCTTCCTACGGGTCCGTCCCAGCGTTTTAATAAAAAGGACCTCTTTGCACCAAAGATGTCTCAAGAATTATTATTTTTTTTAATTTTCTTTTTTTGAGAGAGAGAGTGAGTGCAGGAGAGGCAGAGAGATAGACACACAGAATCCGAAACAGGCTCCAGGCTCTGAGCTGTCAGCACAGAGCCCTATGCAGGACTCGAACTCACGAACCGTGAGACCATGATCTGAGCCAACGTCAGATGCTCAACCAACTGAGCCACCAGGGTGCCCCTCAAGAATATTTTCTGGGCGGTTGGCTCCCAACCCCAACACTTCAAACCACATCAGTTACACAGCTGTATGAATTTGGCAAAATTAGAATTCTAGGCCTACAGTGAGTACGTTTTACTGTACCAGCTTTTAAAGACTCAAGACATTTTACACATAACATCTGTGTGTAAATGTTTCCTCATTAAAAATAAAGTTGTAAATCCCTCATTGACATAATGGAACTGATTTTAAACTACCCTAACGAGGGGTGCCTGGGTGGCTCAGTCAGTTGCGTGTCCTTCGGCTCCTGTCATGATCTCACGGATCAAGCCCCACATCGGGCTCTGTGCTGACTGCCAGCTCAGAGCCTGGAGCCTGTTTCAGATTCTGTGTCTCCCTCTCTCTCTGACCCTCCGCTGCTCACACTGCATCTCTCTCTCTCTCAGAAATAAGTAAAACATTAAAGAAAAAAAAAAGATTTGCTTTGAATTGATCGAATGGCACTAGCTGGTGAGGCAGCTTAATTCTGAACCAGTAAATAGAAAACCATGGGTAGAGAATATAACCTGTTCTTTTTCTTTCTGGAACTGGCCTTGGGGTAATTGGTGTGTAGGACTTCTCTTCTACTTTATATACTGCTTGGCCTACATCTCAGTAAGTCAGGGTTCTTTGCCTGGGTCCGGGATAACGTGACCCAAACCATCAATGGCCTGGGTGGTTTTGCAAATGTCTTCCACCCAGCGCCCCCTACAGGAGCTAGACGGATCCACAGAGACGTCCGAGGCAGGACCTGGCACCTTGAGAAGGGGTGACTGGAGGAAGGTGGAACAGAGGCCATGTAGCTGTCATCACAGTCGCCACCCAAAGCACAGCAAGTAGAAGAGAAATACTCTAGCTTCTCTCCAACTCCCACCTTCCAGTCTATGCCATCCCCCCGCCCCTTGGTAAAGTGGACAGAAAACCAGTGGGCAAAGGACTCAGGGCAATGCCACCCGCCAAGCTTAAACACACACAGGGGAGTGCAGAGCAGGGGAAAGGCAGAAAATGGATCTTAGAGCCCACAGGCAAATGACTGGTAGAGGGTCCCGTAGGGCCCACTCCGAGCTGGACCAGGGAAAGAACTGCCCCGTAATCCTCCAGGATGACTGCGCACACGTCCCTGTAACCGCACATTCTTCCCAGATGCTGGCCACTTCCCTTCCCTCAGTATGCACTCACCTTGGTAAATGGCTGCGATTCTTCGGGAATCCCAGGAGTAAAGGTCACAGTGGTGCCGTAGGAAGGTTTTCCTCAGAGGTGCCCAGCCTCCTGTCCATACACCAGACCTGGGAACAGGGTGACAGGCAGTTTCTAGCACGGGTGATGACTGAGGCCTCTAACCAGACATTAAGTGTTTTTACATAAATAACCAAGTAAAATTTCTGTGGTTGACTGCTGACTTCATTTGTAGACTTGCTAGTAATCTCAGCGCGCAATCTGTCAGGCCATCTGTGGTAATGCTGGTGAAGGCTTGACATGAAGCTCCGCAAGGGACAGAAGTCTGCATGTGCTGTGGGCAACAAGCTTATTGTAATTTCACGGGTGCTAGGTGTGGCGTTGCACACATTTACAAATGGTAACAAAATATAATACTTGTGGGCTGTCAATTCCATGCAGCAATGGATTCTCTTAGAAGGCCTTTGTTGACTTGTACCAACATATGCTTAAAATGGACAAAGGAGTATACAATTCTGACAATGTTGGTTGATTTTTTAAAATGTTTATTTTTGAGAGAGAGACAGACAGAGTGTAAATGGCGGGGGCGGGGGGGGGGGGGG